TGCAGGTGGTGGCAGTGGGAATTGAAAATCAGGGTCATGCCGTGCCTCCCTGCATGGCCCTCGGTCGACAAGCTGGGCTTTCGATAGGTAGGCTGGGCCGCCCAGTAGGCCCATTTTCCCTATTTTTGTAGTCCCAACTTCCTTATAACGTTATCCTATACCAAAAAGGGAGCCCTTTTTTTGCCTAGGTTACTGGGCATCCTCGTAGGCGAAAATCAAGCTGGACTCTGCACAAGGACTGAATATAGGGGCCTTTGATAGTTGCCAATACTATTTTTTGGGGGCTCTTAATTTTAATTCTTGGTACTGGTATCATATGCCCCCAAACCCTTTCTATTTATTCATGCCCCTACAGTAGACAAGGCAGCCTTCACCCTTTTTCGTCCCTAAGCGTTTGCGCGCAAGTGTTTGACCCCGTGCAGTCTGCCCTTCCTGGATGAAGGGTTGACTCAAATCGAGCATTTTGCTGCCCCAGGGTGGGACCCCCCAGATTCAGTAGTCGACCAAGTCACCTTATGCAACATTGAATATCACACACCTGAAACATTCAGAAATCTGCAGCCCAAAACCAAAACTGGCGAGCTTTCGTCGTTCATCCTTGGCTTTCATTGCCAAAAGCGAGAGTTGAAGCCGAACTCTTCAGCTACTGCGAGCCAATCCAAAGCTCGAAGCTGCAATTGGATGAAGAAAACTTCACCAACAAGAATACATATAATCTACAAGACGTGAAGTTCTTAAGCCCTGATCCGTAAACCATAATTCTTCGACGCTACATTCTAGGTTCCGTCCTACCAGAAGTCACCTCTAGACCCGCCACGACAAGCCCTGGACCTAGTGACGGCAGGTAGAGCGAGATGGTATAGAATGCATCTATCTGTCGATCTATCTATCTGCTATGATATACTCGCGAACCCTATTCGATTTTTAAAGTCTCATATATCGCAGAAAGAAATGGAGAAACCTTACCCCCCCCCCCCCCCCCCCCCGCCCACCCCTCCCCTCCCCGTCCCCCAGCGTTGCTCAGGCTTGATCTGGTCTCGAACCCAGTTTTCCAGAAGTTGATGTTTGAGGCTTTACGATCAAGGTCGTTTAGTAGGATCTAGGTTTAGTGTTCCAGCACACAGTGGAGGAGCTTGGGATGTAAAGGCAATCTAGGCGAAGTGCGAAGCGAAGTGCTTTGCAGAAGGTTTAGTGTTTAGGCTTTTGGGGTGTCGTGATGGTCCTGGAGGGATGCTTTCCGCAGCTCTGAGTGCGTCATGTGTTACCTGTTTGTGCCACTCTTTGCCTTTGCATAGTCCAGGTTTAAGAAAGCTTTTGGGGTGTTAAGGCACCCAGCTGCTATAGGGGCCTAAGTAATTTCCAATACTATATTGGGGGTTCCTTATTATATTTATAGTATATTGGGCCCCCAAACCTCATTCTCATTTTTAAGGCCCCTATATTAAAGAGTCAGGCCTTGGAGTTCACGTGGATTGTGGGTTTGGCGGTTGTGCCATGGTACTGTTTCCTAATTTAGGACTCGACTGCACCGCTGCCTAAGCCCAGTTCACATGGAGCCAGAGTTGCGACATGGTTGAACCCTAAACCCTAAACCGTCAGGCTGGCGGAAAAGCAAGCGACCCGAAGACTTTCGATGAGATCGGCAAGTCTTAATTACAGCACAAGGCACAAGAATCAAGATCGCGATGTTCCCATGCAGGAGTTGCCGAAAACTAGGGGTACCTTAGTTTGAGGGTCCTTGTAAGGATCCTATTACTTAATTAGGGTACTATACTAGGGTCCCCTATTTTCGGAAACTCCCATGTAGGTCGCCATACAAGGTTCAAAGTATGCCCAGCTCGAGTACCTGGAGCTAAGCCCATCCGCGTCCCAAGCATAGATCCGGAATTGAGAAGCCTGAATAATTACCAAAAATCTTGCTTAGGGCTCCTTGTTTAGTTACAGTATACAGGAGCCCACAACCCTGTTCTAATTATCAAGGCCCCTACATTAAACCCGCTGCTCTCCGGCTCAGGCGTTTTCTCTACGGTGCTCTTCAGGGCCGTCCCACCGAACTGCCAAACACCAAGCGGTTTAGCATTTGTAGGTTTGGCCATGGGTTTAGGGTCCAATGTCTTTCTTCTACAGATTTTGGCCAGGCTCTGCATTTATTGGTTTAGCTACCCCCAAGTGAAGCCCTGCTTGAGATGGGCCCGTGCCCCACATTGAGCGTCTCGCAGCTCTACCTGCCATGTGTCGGCATCCAGAGCAATATTCGGCACCAACAACGGACAACCAAAGCAGCATCGACAAGAACTACAGCAACTGCAGCATCAGCAACTCTAACAGCGCAATAGCAGCAACACAAACAACGGCACCAACAGCAGGCAAATGTTTTTTATTCACGGTGATAGTTTCCGGTGCCCCATGTGTCGACCTAGTATAGCCTCCCTCTGTCGCTCACTATATGTACAATACACGACGTAGACCTACTGCATACAGATGTACATATATACAAATGCACACATGCATACATACACACATGCACGCACATAGAGAGGGAGGGAGTTGCACGCGCATAAGTATACAGCATGTATCTGTGTGTATATATATATATGTATATGTATTACACACACGTGTTCACATAGGTTATAACTATATGGGTAAAAGCGTGTGTGTTACTATACTCATACATTTTTACGCACACGCGCACACACACACAGACATGCATCTGCATAAAACAAACACATGCATGCAGGCATGCATGCACACAAGCGCACACACATGTGTATGCATATATATATATATACACACACAGACAAGAAGATGTGTATGTGCGTATGTATGTATGTATGTATGTACGTATGTATGTATGTCTGTGTGCATCCATGTATTGAATTTATGGTTAAGTACATGTGTGAATTTGTTTAAACGTATAAATACATATACATGTTTGTATATATATATGTGTATATATATGTATAAACATAAAAGCACATACACATACATGTCACACGCATGCATATGTGTATATACATACACAGGCACGCTTAGACATTAGCCCACATTGCATGCACGCACTCACACCGGAAGTCGTATCCGCGTCCTGAGGTCTTCAAGCTGTCTGTAGGGCTTTAAAGATTACATAGGTGGACACTTATGATCCAGAAAATTCAAGTTCGAGTCGTAAAGCCATAGAAGTCGTGGTCCTTAATGGGGTTCATGCAAAACAGAGAATCTTCATCATGCAGGCATGCGTACTTGAGTCCCCTATCAGCCTTGAAATTAATGCCTAAGCCCGAACCTCATGAAGAAGTCTCAAGCTGACACGTGTCCGGCCGAACCCTAAACCCCAGACCTCATAGACCCAAGCCCTAAACCCTACACCCGACCCTAAACCCTAAACCCCAAGCCCGAGTGTGAGCGCCGAGACCCCAAGCCCTGCAGTGCGACCTGGTCAGCGAAGCAGTTGGGAAACGAACCCAAGCCCTTAACTCTGACAGTAGAAGCCAAAAGTTTTTTGTGTAATGTATAGGGAATCCCCGCACTATTTTGCCTTAATCCGGTTGTCAACTTTACGGCGTTTACTGTGCACCCTTAACCCCAGCCAAACCCCTACACCCTTAAACCCCGAACCCCGAAACTTTAAAGCGCGGCTCAGGCCATCGCTTGGCGTGTACTTGCAGACCCTGGCCTCCCTCTCAGCCCAGATCCTCCAATATCCCTTAATTAAGGAATATACCATAAATTATAGTAGGATCCCTAATATGATCTAAGGAATATTCCTTAATGAAGGGGTGTTGGAGTCTCTGGGAGGGTCGTTTGTGCTTCGCGTTTCCGGTGAAGGGACTCAGGCCTTGGATTTAGGAGAGAGGGTTTAGGGTTATCCCGTCGCATCGGCCTCAGTACGGGTCTAAAAGGGCATATCATGGGGCTTATAGGGTTGAGGGATTCGGATTTAAGGCAACTGGTTCGCTAAGGGGTTGATGTGAGCTTTGGATGGGATGAGCGCTTTGCAGGGGCTCTGGTCAATGGAAACTGCGGATACTTGATGTTCTTTATTGCCTATAAAAGTATAGCGGGCAAGAGTGCAACAGATGCAAACCTTTCTGCTTTGTAGCCCTGTGGGCCCTAAACGGGTGAACTGGGTCTGTTGATGGAATGTCGGGTCGGTGCCTTGCTGTAGAAGCCACGGTCTTGGCTTTCGGACCGCTTTTGGGGCAAGGAGATAATTAGGAGTCAGGTCTAGGCTGCGTTTACATTTTGGAAGTGTCGTTTGAGCTTAAAGTTTTGTACATATGGCTACGCTGCCGCGGGCATTTGCGCAGGGGAATGTTTGACAGACCCAAGGTAAGTCTTGCAGTGACCGTAAGAGCAATCGTATAGTTATAGTAGCCTCAGTTTTCACTTGACCAGATCCTTAAATAGCAATGGCCACAATCCTCAATAGTAATCTTGTTCGTCATGGTAGAAACCTTGGCCCATACCCTGGAACCACTAGAGAACCTGAAATCCAGGATCTCTGATGAGGGTCTGGGATTTACGGTTCCACGGCAGTTGTGTGCCAATACGGAAGTCAGAACAATTAGTAATAATTGTCCCTCTATAGCCATGTCATGTCCTCCAAAGCCTGCTTCGACTGTTCAGGGCCCCGTAGTGCACCCTTTGGGATTCGGTGGGTTCCTTGTTGTGTTGTCGGAATGACCCCAAGCCACATTTGAATTTCTAAGGCCGCTGAATTACTCCTTCGATTTCGGAATACTGACCGGCTCAAGCCTGATCGGCAACCGCCGCATGCGAAAACTGGGGTTGCACAGCCGCCTAGATGTCGGATGTCTTAGCACCGAACTCCATTCAGCTAGCTCTTTCTTTCAGACAGCCTAAGTTGGCGCCAGACTCAGCTGGCCATCCCGTACGAGGGCTTGCAGGATCGCAGAGTTTAGGGTGCGACGGGCTTACGCGTTTTAAAGCGGCAATCCGGTACGTGCCTGAGTCACCCTTTTGGTTGCCCATCAGCGGCGATGGCTGCCCTCTGCTGCAGCTGCGATAGCTGCTCGGTTGTGATTTTTGTTCACACTGCACAGGTCCGCGCCGGCTGCCAAGGAATAGCAACAGAAAGCATGCAATGTCTGTTCCGAAGGTCTCCTGACCATGGTTGTAACATCGTGCAGCCAAGCCAAAACAGCTAAGGCAGCTAAGGTTAAGAGCCCCAAACCCTGAATTTCGCCTGCGGTGTACGCGTTGCGAGAGTTCAAGCCTGAAACCCTAAGCTACCGGAAGCACCCTCCGTAGGAAGCTGAATTCAGGCAAAACGAGGAGCGAAGAGCAGCTTGCTTGCATCAAGTTCCAATCCTCTTGGCTCACGGATGTCCGTCAAGATGCGCGCTTTCTGTTAGCAGTGATCGGTGTGTGAGAAGCCCAAAACAGGGTCACATCTTCGTTCGCGGCTTCAGCAGCAGTCTGTGACAAGTAGCTTGAACGATTTAGCGTTCGGGGGTTTAGGGTGTAGCGCTCCAGCCCCAGCCTGTCTGTGGATCTTGGGACTTCGCTATCCGGGACTTAGGACTGGATACACCTTCACGGAGGCACTGTCGTGATCCTTCGTCGGTGCGAAACAGGGATCCACGGAGGGAGCTTGCTCAGAGTTTCCATGGCTCATGAGGCTTAGGATGTTCAGGGTCTACAGCGCTTAGGGAGTTCAAGTCGGGATGCTTCAGGGGGTTAGGGTGACCTTGATGGCCTCCCAAGCCCAGAATGGGCCCCCCTCATGCAAACTCCGCCTTCAAGACGCTCGCTGAATCTCGTGTTTCGGACCCATCCTGCACTTAACGGTCCTTGTGTCTGGCGCAGGACGCAGCGCGCGCACCCCCAACCATGCACAGATACCCCCACCCTCTTGAAAGGCTGTGGGCGAGAAAGATCCTTAACACAAGCACCTTCAACCTGAGACCTTACTTAGATCTACACTAGAAGCCCAAAAGTTGGAAACCCCGTAGCCTCAATCCTTAAGAGGAATGTATAGGGGATCCCACCGGTTTCCAACTTTATGGGGTTTACTGTATGGCAAGCAGACATTTACATGTGGCCGGCATTCCCGCCGATTCCCCAGCCGTAGAGCAGTCAGCGGGAGCTTGCGGCCTGCCAGGGCTACAGCAGTGAGGTCACCCCCGAAGTGGACCGACACCGGCTCTGGGGCTGTGCAGCTTTTAAAGAGGTGCTTGCACTTCCTTGTATTTTGCACATGTGGTGTTTTATGACCTCGCAAACAAGACCCTGTTACGTACGTCTAGATTACAGGGTCTCGTGTCTTGACAAGCTCTCCTCTTTGTAATTTAATTTTTTAGTATTATAAAAAAGTCACCGTAATAGTAGTAACACTGACTATGACCGTTAGTCAGTATTGTCGTTATGACAATATCAACATTGTTTCCAGCAAATTTTACAAAAACTGCTGCTAATACTACTAATACTACCACCACCACTTCTCGCACCACATACCACTACTACTACTACTACTACTACTACTACTACTACTACTACTACTACTACTACTACTACTACTACTAGTACTAGTACTAGTACTACTACTTTTGATGCCCAAAATCCTGCACGACCCGCAACATCCTACATACTCCACATCGCACTACCCACTGCCCCGCAGCCCCCAAATTTCAATGTTGCATCTCCATGAGGTCATGCAGCATTTAGGGCATTCGCGCAAGCCCTTTTTCTAGCCCATGCGGCAGAGCAACATTAAAGTTAAGGGTAACAGGGAAGCCGTGGAGATGTTCATAGTCATACCGGATTTTGGGCTCTTCTACTACTACTACTACTACTACTACTACTACTACCACCACGACTACTACTACCACCACGACGACGACTGCTACTACTACTACTACTACGACTACCATGATGTTATGCAGCATTGCTACAGTTGCGATTATTGTTCTTATTACGATCAAGAATACTCCTATCACGGGCAGTCTCGTTACTAGTACTGTTTGTTTACTGTTATTGTGAGTCTTTCAGTCCATTGTTGTGATTTTTACTGTTTTTTATTTAGCATTTTTTTTGCGGTGGTGATGGTGTTTTTGTGTTCTGGCTGTTGTTGCTGTCGTCGTTGCTGTTGTTCTTAGTCCTGTTCTTGCTCTTATGATTCTTATTGTTGTTGCTGTTGTTGCTATTTTGGTTTGTGTTGTTATTTAGCTTAGCTGATCCAAGGGTACAGGTAAAGGCGATGAGTCGAGTGACTTCAACTAGCTTCAGCAATGCAGGACGCTGGCCTGCCCGGCAAGATCGCGAGGACCGCATAAACACAAGGGATCGCACAGACTCCGGTAGGCCTGGTTCGATTATCCTGATACTTGCGCGGAGGGTTTGCCTGGTTGTCCGCTGTCTACACTGGAAAAAGCCTGCTGCCTTGGCCCAACATCGACTTTTTGCGTTCAGCACAAGTTGAAAAATCGGACGACAGCCATGCAGGACAGGCAAGTTTTCAGAACATATGTGAACCATCGGGACAGAGCTGCGCTGCTTCGTAGCCATGTACCCGAGCGCTCGTCGGGAACGGCCCCGGGCGACGGTAATCCGTCCACGGGCTGCTTGCCTTTTTGACGTCATGCTTAGCATTGCAGTTTCAGGGGCCCTGGGCTCTGCGATTCGTGCTTGGCTCATGAAGAATCCTGCTTGGCTACTGCTATCAGAGCTTTTTACCGGGTATTTCGAAGCTCTGATCTGTTTGTTTCGCCATGACAAACCTCTTCTCAGAACTGAGGCCGACACACTGAATCCGTCTGTGTCGCCAAACAGTGCGACACACATCCTGTGCGATCACATGAAACCCCCTATGTATCGACCTGAACATCGGAGGCAGTCCCACAAACCCTTCTCACTTATGAGGCATTATACAACTTGGCTTGGAACTTGTAAGGTCCTGAATTTTGCATATGATAAAACCTGTATGACGACTTCGCGAAATTCGTAAAGACTCATCAAATCAATGCCCAACCCTTGGGGGAGCCCACAGTCCTGCCTACAAAACGGCGTGCATATAACAAGCTGTGAAGTCCATGTGGGTGGTTGTCAAAATGATGGTCCTACCTTAGGTACCCTACATATTAGGTGCCGTATTATAATAAGCACCCCAAAAGGGGCCATAATTTTGACAACTACCCATGTAACTCGACGGAGCCGAAAGAAACGCTTTCTAGGGTCCTAGCAAGTTAAATGAGGTTTTGGGGGATAGTGTGTATTTAGGGAAGCCTAGGGAGCAGTATGGGTAATTATCCGGTCCCCTATGCAAAACCCTAGCATAACCCGTATAAACGTTCATGAAGCAGCTCAACCCTAAACCCTAGACCGTTAAGGAAGCTTTAATAGTAAAAGCGGGGGGTAGTCTCCGCTCGCCTAGCGAGGCCTTGAAGCAGTCGCAGAGCGAGCCCGGCCTACTGCAGCACGGCTCTCATGCTTTAGGGAGTTGCGGGTACGATGAGGGCTTTCGGCTTGAAACAGGGCTTGGGATTAAAATGATGGGAGCGGAAGGCACAAAGTTTCAATCGATTGCCAGACCTCTGTCAAATTTGGAATGCACTCTCCTCCTTGCCTTGCCAAGTAGGAGGCAACAACTGGGTGGTTGTCTCCCTTTTTGGGTCCCCATTATAATTCGGCACCTATAAATTCGGGTACCCACAAAGGGACCATAATATTGACAACTACCCAACTCTCAACTGTAAGCCGGAGCACTGGGTCGGCCCACTGAGGCAGAGCAACGTGGAGGCCTGGGATCAGTTTGCTGAGGACCTTCGGGTCTGGGGTTTTACTTGGGCATTTAGGCTTTAGCCGGGGTTCTTGTGGCTCATAGTGCGTGTCGTGGAGGCTTGAGGCTTCTTTGAAGGTTTGGGACTTCAGACCGTTGCAACGCGCATGCAACGGTCTCAGCACTTTCGTTGTATTCAAGATTCTACTTCAGAAGCCGGCTTATCTATGCAATGCATACAGCGGCCTTCTATACTACATATTTGTGGGACAGTCACTTGCTTTCTTCTCAACTCGATGGGTCTGTCTTATCCATGGTTTGCCACTGTCGGACTGGTGAGAGTTTTCAAGAGTTGCTCACAAGCTGACCACGTCTGAGCTCGGTCTGGGATTGTCTGCAGGCTGGGGGCACTAGAGATTCTTCGACATGAGGCTTTGCTTCTAGAAGCATCAGATAGCAGGATCTCGTTTGAGTACAGCGACCCTATTGTTTGGGTTTGCTCACAAGTCAAAGAAGGTCTGGATTAGCCGCACAGGGAGGAAACCACTGAAGACATGCTCCAGGCGACGTTGCATGTCACCCTAGCCCATGCCCTGTGTGGGCTTAACTCAGGCATTCAAGCTCCCCGATTCTGAATGTGAACTCTGAGCGCGAGATCCACAAACCAATAAACCCTGACCTTCCGTAAGCCCGTCATGTCGACCCTCCGCACGAAGCATCATGACTTTGCTTCCGACCCTTTCATACCGCATGCCTGACCCAAAATGTTCACGCCCCTTCGTTGCGTAACATGTGGTAGCATGTGGTTGCCCTGTTCTACTTTGTTGTTCGTGTTTAACGCTCCGAACCATGTCGTGTCAAGCCAGAATCGAGGCCACAGAGACCTAGGCTAGGCGAGCTCATGTTAAACCATAAGCACAAGTCACGCTCACGTCATCTTCATGGTCTACATCTGCCTTGTGGGAGTTTCCGATCATAGGGGACCCTAACATAGTACCCTAAATAGTAGGATCCCAGAAGCCGTGCCTGCGATTGTGCGAGTGTGCGAGTCGAAATAGTAGGATCCTCATTGTAAGGACCCCAAAATAAGGTACTCCTAATTTTCGGAAGCTCCCTTGTGAGATTCGAATCAATCCTTCTGGCAAAGGCAAGGCAGCAAGAGTAGCTCTTACCAGGCGGGCGCGGCTGAGATCGAGTTCCTCGAGGGCAGCTCGGGCGATTCTGGAGGCGTCCGACTCATCGCTTCGTGCTTCGAAGCAGGATCTTCGGTTTAGGGTTTAGGGGTTAGGGGTTTAGGGTTTAGGGGTTTAGGGTTTGATGAAAGGTTGAGCTGTCACGAGGTCCCTTTTCTAGGTATGCATTCAGGAAATGTTAAAGGGCCAACCTAGTTAACGTATCCCATACCTTCGAGTTATACTATCACAAATGCCATACAGCTACTGATTATTCGAGCCTATATACTCTATATAGTACTCGTTATATAGCAATGAGAACATGATGGAGGATGCGGCAGCCTACAACACCCGGGCGTATCGGATAGCCTGTAAATACTGGGAAAGCACATCGAGCCTCTATCAAAGTTCACGTCAGCGCGACTGCTCAGAAGATGGGTGAATTCAGCAATGCTTGACAATTCGTCAGGGGCGCATTCGTGAGCAAGACGTCTGACTCACTCGCAAATTGTCCTTCACGTCGCCTGAGGTGTTTCAGAAGGTCATCAGACGCACTGCAACATGACCAGCATACCACCAAGCTCGATTCTGCGTTGAACAGCCCACGATGCCCTTTACCCTGCCCTAACCTACCAACACCTACTTCCCTGTACGGTTTGGTAGTTTCCCGAACCCCCAAAGCACAGGACCCTGACCCGCGGCTTCCCCCCTTCCATTCAAAGAGTGCTCTTTGAGCATGAAAGGGTTTATACAGTTTAGGGCTAAGGGTTGAACAGCTAAGACGCGTTCGTGCACTGGAGTGCCTCCGTCTCAGTTCCAACACCAACACCCTCCCTCGAAAGGCGAAAGGCCGCAACTGTCACGGAGATCCCTAAACCCCAAACCTTCGCTTGGAGTGGCCAATGTGCTGCACGCATTCGAACCGGGATCCCCGCCTGCTTGTCTAGTTGTGAGTGCTGAAACCTGGCGAAGGTGCAAGGAATCCGAAGCAGGAGCCGCCCACCTCACTCGGTGGATTCTTGATCATGAAGGAGAAGAAGGAAGAGAGAAAGCTGGAGGCCAGGGATGTGAAAACCGTACACAGCCCTCAAAGGGTTTATAGGGTTTCGTGTATTTAGCAGCGTAAGTTAACCTAAGCCTGGCACCGGAGTGAGCCAGAAGCGGGCAGGATGTCCTCGTTACTACTTCAAGGGCTACTAGAAGGGATACTACAAGGGATGCGAGAATACTACAAGGGCTACTACAAGTCTATTCCAGGCATTTTGGGAAAATGTTCTGCACATAATTACAAGTAGTACCCCTCCCCTCACTATATAATCTAGTTTTGGTAGAGCAAACCAGGAAGCACTTGGGTTTAAGCGTCGCTGCGCCCTGAAACCTAAAAACACTGGCTACTTAGTATTGCTTCTGCGAGGAAACCGGTCCTGACCCTGAACCTTAAACCCTAAATCCTAATGCAAACCCGACGTTTATGGAGGCATGGCTGAAGACCCCTGCGCACCTGCGACCTGCTCCCAGTCCTACCGAAATGGGCTGCGGCTTGTTCTGAAGCTTTGGGTTTTGGGCTTGAAGGCTGTGATATAGGGGCCTAAATAATTACCTATAGAAATTGGGGGGGGTTCTTTGTGCTTGCCCCCATGTACGAATCGGCGGGATTCGGGACCACCATTCCGGTGTTAGAAGGGTATAGAGAAGCCGTGTATAGTAAAAGCCAGAAAGTTGTAACGTCATTATCCTCAGATCCGTGAGGAAAAAGAAGAGAGATCCCCAGCACCAATCATCCTAATTCCATGTTCCAATTTTCTGGGGTTCACTAAGTTCAATGTATGAGGCTTTGTAGAAAGGTTTATGTAAAGGTTTGTAGAAGAGCTTAGTACAGCAAGGGCTTGTTCGAAGAGCTAATAGGCCTGCTGAGTGAATGGGTGGATGGGATAAGTGGATGGGCACATGGACGGATGGGTGGATAGGCGGTGGTTAGGTGGCAGGGTGGAGGGTTGGATCGGTGGATCGATGTATGGATGAGTAGGCGGATAAGACGGATGCATGGAGGGAGGGATGGATGGCTGGTTGGGGATCAATGCATGGAGGGATAGATGGGTGCATGATCATTCATGTCTGGATGGAGAAGTTCGGTGTCGTGGTGCAGACTACACTACGTCTCAAAAGCGCTTTCGGGACACTCGCTGTGTAGTTGGATTTTAGGGGAGACAAACGGAATTCTACGACTACTACTACTACTACTACTACTACTACTACTACTACTACGACATCGACTACCACTACCACTACCACTACCGCTACCGCTACCGCTACCACTACCACTACCACTACCACTACCACTACCACTACCACTGCGACGACGACGACTACTACTACAAAGTACTAAGTAATCAGATGCTCATACGTTCCTGAGGAGTTAGGGCTCACAGGTAATGTTGCCATTGCCTGGCGCAAAATTCAGTAAGGACGGAAAACGACATGTCAACGTAGGAGAATCCTGCTCCAAGCTGAGGCATGCCAAACTATGTGACGGAAACGATGCGAGGACGTCGAATGCCCTGCCAAAGCAACATTTGGCTTGTAGGTTCTAAGTTTAGCACTACACCAAGATCTGAACCCTGAAGGATCTCATGCACTCTGTGCGCCCGCAAAAGATAAATCACGTGTCGTTTCAAGTGCATCCTGAGGCAGTCAGTCAAGCTCGTACGATTCCCTTATCAACAACAGTGGCCATGAAGTCTCAAGTTTTCCCGGATAATTCTCCCAAAGCCTGTCAAGAAGTCTGAGAGATAAGCTCCTCGAAGCACAGGGAGCGGAGCCCTTCACGAGCAGGACTCACCCTGCCGGTGCAGAAAGCTGTAGACCCGAAATGGTCGACAGAGCTGAAGAAAGTGAATGCGAGACTCTGGCGGGATTCAGGCATTCATGATTCAGACTGTGTGTAAGGGCTTCAAGTCTTTTCTCACTAGATTAAGAAGGACCCCAAATCCCACCAGGAGCCCATCTCCCAAAAATAACGAGCCCAGGGACCGAACCCAAAAGTCAGGGATTCGGAGGAACGGGGCTGCTTGATCGCTGCGAAAGCCTTGCCTGCCAGCATAGAATCAGATCTAGGGTGTCGGATTCAGGGAGCTTACGAAATTGGCACTGGCACGCTGGCTACTCGCAGCCTTTCCAAGTGTCCTGGTTTTGCGAGCAGGGTGCGAGCGCGGATGTATGCTCCGAAGAAATAGGTGTATTCCGAGCAAGTACTGTATTCACAATGAGGAATGAGGAATGCTGTATTCCTGTCCTACCAATCTATTTGTCACAGTACTTGCCACAACGAGAACACTGAGAGTATTCATTAGGAGCGGAGTGTTGGCAATACCCGCCATCAACGTTCCATGTGCGATTACTAGAGGGGTGTAGTCAAGATGCCAAGAACGAAACAGGATGGGTGCTATGGTGCCACTGGTGCCACATGAACTAACTGAAGTACAGATGTCCTACATCTATTTCCGAACCGCTCATGCTGCAGCACGCTTCCCTTCTAGTTATAGCGCTTGAAACAGCAGGTTTCGTGTGTAGAGTTTGACATGTAGGGCTCAGGTGCTTTGGAATAGACTCGAGAGTGGGAGAAAGGGCTGCAGAGTCGAAGGCTTCTAGGGCCGAACCGGAATTTAGAGTGTCGGCAGTGAAGCTCGAGGAAAGTCGGTGCCTGCATCAAGTACCAGAATAGCATCTCGTCTTCCATGCGCAAGCCTCAGAGCGCCTGAATGCACAACGTGTCTACTTGGAGGTTCAGGGGTTATAAGTGGGGTTATAAGTAGGGTAACTATATTTATAACACATTTCAGGGGACTTACAACGCCACTTATAACTACCCATGAACCTCCAAGGTGTCTACCCAGAGGCTCCATAGCAGTTCCTTTTAGGGCTCATATATTTAGTTCGAACCCTATAAGGTCATCTTAAAAAGGAACAACTGTGGAGCCTTAGAGTAATCAGTGTGTTGGCTTGACTGCTTGACCTTGTCTTGCTTCCTTGGTCCGCTGCCTCGACAGTACCAAAGTTGGTCCTAAAGCTATTCCAACAGATCTCGTCGAAGGACCGAGTGTATGCCATATTGCTATCTGGGGAATTGGTTGGTCAGCATCCCTCGGTTCGCACAGTGAGAAGACTGATCTCGCTTTCCCGGACCTTTTCCACGAGTGTCTGGTCTTTTCCTGCATGAGGAGGCTCGAGGACTCAATAAGGGAAGCATGAGGCTGAGAATTGAGGCCATCAGGCTGATGACTTTCACATACGGTTGCTTCCAGCACTGGTATGGTTGGTTCTGTGACAACCTATTTTGTTGCACAGGCTGTTGATCTTACTGCATGTGTAGACCCGAGTCTTAGCGAAATTCTCCTCCGAGCTGACGAACATGAGAATCTGACTCACTTTGCACTTTTCCGCTTGTAGATCGTGGACGCCGCAGTACTTAATCTCACTCTTGTTCTGGCCCTTTGTGTGTGTGTGTGTGTGTGTGTCGTGTCGATTGCCGGGAGATGCTGCGACAGGCCCGGTCAGATCTCGCCTGAACTTCCGTTCATGTGGAAAAAGGCTGCTCGGCGGCAGATGTGAAATTGCTTGGTGTCCTGTGCAACGAGGGGTGAATTCCGTCGGAACGGCCTTACAAGAGCACATCTTTGTGTGTGTGTGAGTATAGTGTAAATACATATATATATATATATATGTATAAACATTAACCTATATATATATATATATATATATACACTTATAATATATATATATATATATATATATATATATATATGTGTGTGTGTGTGTGTGTGTGTGTGTGTGTGTGTGTGTGTGTGTGTGTGTGTGTGTGTGTGTGTGTGTGTGTGTGTGTATGTGTCGAGTATGTATGCATGTATGCATGTACCGACATGCATTCATGCACGCATGCATGCATGGCTGCAGATATGTATGGATGTATGTACATATGTATGATGGCCTTTTATGGTGCCGTGTGTTCGTATGCTGGTATAGGGGCCTTAATATTCGAAAGGGCTTTGGGGCCCACCACAATAAAACATATAGTTATAAGAAGAAACCCCAAAATGGTATAGGTAATTAGCATGCTTTTTTTAATCTGAAGCGAATCTCTTTCGTGCTGAGGCTCTTTTCGGTCCTTTGCAGTCTAGGGGATTCTCGGTGTTTAGAGTCTAGGTGAAGAGCTGCGGCTTCACGGGGGCATGGTGAGATGCGGCCGAAGCTTAGTTGTTGCGCGTTGTGGCTGAAGTTTGATTCATGGCGTATGCTGGTTCTGCTTAGGGTATCGGCGCTTTGTGTCGAAAGGTATGCGAGCAGGGGTTGAAACATTGAGGGTACGGAGTTTCCCATCCGGGCCGTATAGACTCTTTAGGATTGTCTCTCAACCGTTACCTAGAGGCTCCATAGCAGTTCCTTTTTGTGGTCCATATATAGAATCCTACAAGGTATCCCGAAAGGAACTACTAGGGCGCCTATGGGCAGTGCCAAGGACTACCTCTCCAATCCGCCGACACCGTACTTTGAGCCTGGGCGCCGCCCAGTTCACCCGGCAGATCGCCTTCTCTAGTAGAAGTAGTAGCGGTAGTGGTGGTAGTAGTAGTAGTAGTAGTAGTAGTAATAGTAGTAGTAGTAGAAGAAGTAAAAGCTGGACGTGTGCTGCATCCAAGCATTGAAGCCCACTCCCTGGTAGTGATATTCCGTGCAAAAGTTGTTCTTGCTTGTAGCTTCTAGTCTTTGCTTTCGCAACACGGATCCTTCATCTCGGCAAGCTGCAGCTCCAGACATGCAGCTGTTGGGCAGAGAAGATCCGACAGATTTAGGGTTTATAACTGTCGGGCGGTTATATGGGTTGGCAGACGGCTTTGCTTTTTTCCTGCACTTGTAAGTCTGCTATGCTGAAAGAAATCATGAGTAAAGGCTAACAGTCGGGAGCTTCAACCTCTCACAGTTTCACTTTCGTCGCAACACCGAATGGTGCTTGCACAGCCTTCCGGCCGCATCCCGCTGTTGACTGGCAGAAACAAGCTTTCAGTTTAGGGATTAGGGTTTATGGCTTAGGGAAAACCACGAGGCCTGCTGCAAGAAAGGGAATGGTTTTCCACCCTCTTTGAGTAGTAGCATTATGGCTTTGACTCTTCCTGGGTTTCGGTCTCAAGGTCTTGATTCCCAAATTCTTGTTCCCCTGGACCCGGCACAAGAATCCCAAAGTTCCTCGATCCCTCTGAAAACTAAACGTCCGCAGTCCCAAGATGCTCTGGGAAAGAGCTCGCAGACATGAACCCAAAGCCCTAAAGGGAACTCCAGAAAGTTGGAATATGGTTTCATGGTAGGATACCTTATAATTTACCTTACAGGGCTTAGGATAATCATATTCCAATTTTCTGGCTTTTACTTTAAGCATGCAGCATCCTGCAGCTGACACGTCGAGAAGTTTGCCTGGAGTTTCACTAGCTAGTCCAAGGTAGCTGTCTGCAGCCGAACTCCGGCCTCGCTTGTAATGGGAGTATCCGAAACTTCGGGGTACCTTAAAGGGTTACTATAAGGGTACTATAAGGGTTCCTTTTAAGGTTACTATAAGGGTTTACAGAGTATCCGAAAATTAGGGGTACCCTATATCGGGGTCCTTATAATAAGCACTGTTATAGGCCTCTTTGAAGGAACCCTATCGAAACCTTATTAAACCCCAAAGACTTTGCAGGACTGCTCCGGTAATTCCAGCAGCAGCACCAGCGCCTAAGCCACCCGCAGCACCAGCTGCAGAGGCCGGGGGCAGGAGAAGAGACTCCTCGTGCTTAGTATTGAATGGGAGAATGGATCCCTTTGAGGATTTAGGGCTTTTTTTAAGGGATGCTTTATGGGGATCTGTAGGTTTTAGGGGTTAGGGAAGGTGCTTACCCAGAGGCTCCATAGTAGTTCCTTTTCAGGGTTCACATTTAGAACCCTACAAGGTAATTCCCAAAAGCACTATTATGGAGCCTTCGGGTAGTAGGGAATGGGAGAATGGATCCCTTTGCTATAGTACTGCTATAGTCTCCTTAGGAATATGTTTGTTTTTGTTCATATAAAACACCCAAGAAAATATTGAAACTAACATTTTATTATGGTTCTAAGGGGGTATAGTCGGTATAATAGTAGGGAATGGGAGAATGGATCCTATAGTAGTCTCTATATAATCATATTGCATTCCCTACTAAGAGCCAGACAGAAGAGAGCTGTGGAGTGACCGGCTTCAAAGCGCTTAGAGCCTTGAAGGTTGATAGGCTTTTGGGGCTTAAGGTTTACTTGGAGGTTCATGGGTAGTTATAAGTGGAGTGATAAGTCCCCTAATATGGGTTGTAACTACAGTTAGCCTACTTATAACCTCACTTATAACTACCCATGAACCTCCAAGTAGGGGCCAAAAGTTTGCTGGTATCTCATGAGCCCAGCTTGCCGGCATACAACCAAAGCCTGTGCTGAAAAAGGGTTTGGCCCCTAATCAGAGTTTCTCTTAGGGCTTGTAGGGTTTAAGGTGTGGATGGATTGTGGGCTGTCATGCCGAACTTGCATTTAAGGTTGTCTCGCAATGCTCAAGCCCAACGCACCACCAAATATGAAACGTTCTTGCGCATTGACGGTGCAGATTGTGCTGAGTGAATGTTTTCGAATTGAAGACAGGAAACAATTGGTTCAAGTTTTCCCGCTTGTTCAGAATCAGTAATGGCCGTTCTCTGTCAGCCCGAAATCAGAAAAAGGCAAACGCATCCTTGACTTTTCCGGCTACTTGTATTCAAAGCCCGCCTTCCATAGCGGGAGACTGGCACGGCCTCATTCACCAGTATACTCTTGGGGAAATCAATCCAAGCCGTGAAATCCTAAACCCTACATAAAACGTAGCAAGCTTTGTGCAGTGGAGATCTCTGTTGCACGAACGGTGCCTGCCTTGCGCGAGTGTTCGAGTCGAAACCCTGAACTTGCAAGGTGGTCCAGGAGGCCGCCAAAGAGCCCGCAAGCTCCTCGACTGCAGCATGGAAGCAGGGACATGCAGTATCAGTTTACAGGTTTAGGACTCGCTGCCTGACACTAAGAGCCCAGCTGCAAAAGGGTTCTGGGGTGCAGTGTAGATCAGTGTAGATGACTTCCTGAACCTTGTCGGGCACAGGAGCAAGTTCAGAAGCGGTGCATCGATCGAAAGAGCCTTGCCCTCTGGTTCAGAGTGCAACATGCGCGAAGTTTACCCACCTCCGTAAATCCACAGTGCAATGCAGTAGTCGAGTTTTCTTTTGTGAGCAGTGGCTCCGCTTCATGCGGGAGAACGGCAAATGACTTCTGCCCCCTCAAAGATCACTCCATAACCTGTTTACTCTCATCTCGCCCATGCTTTTATGCTAACAGGCCTTGCATCCGGCTACTGTACCACAGAAAAGGCTCTATGTCATACTCAGAAGACCCTCAACGACAAGCCTTCCATCGCTGGAGCGAAAACCCCAAACCCGAAATCCGAAGAACTTCGACCACTAGTCGCCACCCCCGCAAAAGGGCTCCTTCCGGGTGGAGTGTTTTGGGAAGCCTCCTTTTGTGTAAACTCCTGCAAAGCTCCATATCAAAATTTGTAACACATAGCACGAACCCTAAACCCTACAAGCCGTAAGCCCAACAGACCTCGCCTGGTAATGCCGAGTGTGAGCATCAAAAAATCGGCAAACGGTTGGTTATGGCAGCTTCTGTTATGTATCATGTCTTTGATTTTACATGCTATGTAGTATATGTTATATAACGCGTAGTATACATTATGCTATATAGGGCTTAGCAGGGCTTTGCTTGGAAGGCGCCGAGCCTCCGAAAGCTTCCCCACCACCGGCCGCTGCGCCACTCCCGAACTTGCCCTTTGGCTCGGGTTTAGGGTTGTAGGGTTTAGGGTTTTTGGGGTTCCTTCCAGGGATCTATAAGGGGTACTATAAGTGTACTATAGGGTTCTATGGTTTTAGGGTTTAGGCTTTAGGGTTTAGGGTTCTAGGGTTTAGGCTTCAGGATTTGGGTTAAGGGGGATGGTCATGGTTTATGACTCTAGTTCGGGGTTTAGAGTCTATCCGGTTGAGGGTGTTGGGGTGTGGGTTATGTTGGGGGTGGTTAAATGTCTATGGCTCTGGTTCGTGGTTTAGAGTCTGTAGTGTTTAGGGTTTGGGTTCTGACGAGGGGTTCAAGTTGATATCTTACGGACTGGGTCTTCAAGGCCTTGGATTTGGGGCTTGTGGATTCAGATTGAAAGTCCAGGGCATGGATTACAGCTACGTACAGGCCGCATACGGTCTAGTGCTTTAGAGCAGGTCCTTTGGTACTCTTTTGGAAGTGTTTTGTGTTTCTTTTTTTCCGAGGGCTTCGAGCGAAAAGGAGAGTGTGGGGTTCTTTCTAGACAATAAGGTTGTGATGGTGCTGTGGCTTAGGCAAGGCCAAGGCGTACAGCGGTACGGTACAGCAATTTGCTGGATAAGCTTGTTTTGGTTATGAGGCTAAGGTGGCTCGTGGAGTTTGCTAATTTTTTAGCTTTGAACTTTGAACAGGTATATAGTGCAGACTGTGCAGATACAAAGTGACATCGTGCATATGCGTAAAAAATATAGTCTTATGGTATACTTGTATGTACACACACAAGTATCTTTACACATATCTATTTGCACACACATGTATATATATATACATATATATATATATACATGTTCATTTTTTATATACGGTTCATATCAAAGCTGGTCTCGTGGTTGAGAAGCAGGCAGCAAGGACTCCGCGAAGCAAGCTAGATCAAGTAGAATCGAAGCCCTTCTCTTTCTCTGGAACCTCACGTATCCCTAAGGCTCCATGTACCCTTATAGTATGTACTTAGGCTTTAAATTCCCTATATAGGGACTCCCTTAAGGCGTAAGTATCTACTATATAAGGTACATGGAGCCTTTGGGAATGCAGCCGGGCCGTACCCTGATCCCGAGACAGTAAGGCCTCGTGGCAAGATCGCGCAGCAAGAGTACCGGAAGTGCTGGGAAGACCACACATTCTGCTCCTTGGCTGTTGAAAGGCCTTGGACCTCTCAAACCTGAAGCCTCAAAGCTTACTTCTGATATTTCCCCGATCCCAAGTACTTCAATGCTTCTTGAAGCCCTGCTGCTACCATCCCCTACTACTGCCGCTGTTGATGACATCGATGTCCTGATGCTTGTTCCTTTTGCCAAACACCAGTGGTGCGGCAGTGCAGCATGTAGGGTGGCGTGCAGACGCTTTTACGCGCTGAAATGGGGGCTTGTTTCCAAGGCTTCGTCTACGGCACGCTCACGGGCTCCAACACGCCTGGTATCGAAAGGGCATCCTCGCCCGCAGTGGAAGCAAAGTGTTACTTCGATTTGTCCCTTCGCAGTTCTCGGACCATCCTGGCATCTGATGAACATGTCCCAGATATGGGAGGTTCCCGAAATTGGGGGTATCTTGTTTTGGGGTCCATATAATAAGGATCCTACTATTTAGGGCACTATATTAGGATCCCTATTTTCGGAATCGCCCAGAAATGATTAGGGCTAAAAAAGTCTCAGGTGGTGGTAC